TACCTTGTTTTGTGTCCCAATTTTAGCCCCCCCCCCCCTTCTAATCCAGGGTTAGAAAAAAATTTGCGTATTAATATAGCCCTGATTTTTTTTAATAGTCACTTTCATATTTTCATCCCCTTTTATGTCCCCACTCTACCACTGGGGCCATAATTCAAATAACTTTGATCTGCACAGCCTGAGAATGCTTGCAGTTATGATCTTTCTTGTATTCGGAAGACCGTCACGGTAGCTCAGTCGATAGAGCGCTCGCTCCGTGATCGGAAGGTCGTGAGTTCGAATCTCGCAATTGCCGCGACTGACCTAAGTCATAAAATAGGTAGCAACTGTTCCTTCGCCAAGCGCTCGGCACTTTGAAGGGAAAGTTGTGGGTCCTTCGGAAGAGACCTTAAAAACCTAGGCCCCTTGTCACGGCAGGCGTTGGCACGATAAAATCTCTCACTGCTCAGTGGCCCTGAGTGCCGAGTAAAGGTCTAAATTTGAAGCCCTTCACCGGTATATGTTGGCGCCTCTATATGAGTGAAAAATTCTTGAATGGGACGTTAAACAACATACAATCAATCAATATATTCGGAAGAAGATTTTTAAAGATTTTCCCAGAAATAGTTCCATGTAAGTCTTAGATCTCCTACTGTGGACCCACTGTGGGACGTGGAGACCGGTCCTTCGGATGAGACCGTATAAACCGAGGTCCCGTGTCGCAGTAGGTGCTGGCACGAAAAAGATCCCTCACTGCTCAATGGCCGTAAGTGCCGAGTATAGGACAAAATTTGCAGCTCTCCACTGGCAAGTGGTGGCGTCTCCATATGAGTGAAAAATTCTCGAGAGGGACGTTAAACAACATACAAACAAACAAACAAATCCTACTGTGGACCAACCAACCCTCAAGAGTCTTAAGTCTTGAGTCATCGATAGGTTACATGTACGGTTCCCTAATTATTCCCGTTACTATGGGTGATACTTTCTGTGGAAATATGCAGTACATGTTAAACACTCCCTACATCATATTTGTCTATAAGATGACAAATAAAAGTTTTATTAATTGTATATCTCATTTAATCAATCAGTATATTTACCATGTTCATCATTGGGACGAGGTCGTAATTAGCGTTACCCCCAAATTCTTCGATATCTTACTACATACAGTAAAACTCGATTATAGCGAAGTTCTGGAGACCTGTGAATTTACTTCGCTATATCCGTACTCGTTAGAATATACATAGCGAATTTGGAATATGGATTTTGTTCTTCAATATGACTACAAAATGTATTAAGGGAGGTATGAAAAATGGAGGTTACCTTTAAGTTCAAAAGTTTCCTATGAAATGAATTTCAAATATAAATACTTATAAAAATATTGTCAGTTCAATATATTAATATTCTAAACAAGAGGCCCAAGGGCCTTAACGGTCACCTGAGTATAATACAACAATTTAAAGGATCCATAAAGTTTAAAATAAACTGATATATGAAGCTTTGTTGCCCAAAAGCAAGAGAAATAGGATGATCAGGATCAATGAAATAATTAGTCTAGTATTCAGTAACCACTCATAAATTAAATTCTAATCTATCCCCCATTTATCACTATCGAAATGCAGACAATTAACCAACTAGTAGTTGACTTTTGCGAGAAGCACTGACTTTTACAGTCGACGGTTTACTTTAAATATGTGTTATGTACGGAGGTACCGAATTGATAATACCAGAACCCTGACCCTGGGGCCATGAAATTCACAATTTTGGAAGAGCTATCCTTGCTTATCATAACTATATACTCAGTTAGTTTGTTTAATACCCAAGAGCAGAGAAGAAGATTTTCAAAGAATTAATGCATTTTCACCATATGATCAATAGAGCCCACCCTAACACCAGAACCCCCGACCCAGGGGCCATGAATTTCACAATTTTGAAAGAGAAACACTTGTTCATCATAACTATGCATTTAGTTTGTTTCCTGAATACCCAGGCGCAGAAGTGAAGATTGCTTCACCAAATGGGTTGATGCTATCCCTCTTAGAAATAAGAAATCAGTTACAATAGCTTAGAAGTTAATCAATCATGTAGTCCCAATGCAAAGTCATTCAGATCAAGGCTAAACATATGAAGCTGATGTTTTCAAAAAATGTGTAAAATACTGGGTATAGATAAAACCCGTACTACTCCTTGTAGACCTCAGTCTGACGACAGAAAGGGCAGATTAAACAATTGAAAATATGCTCTCAGCATTTGATAGCAAAAATCAAGAAGACTGGGATAACCTGATACCCTTACTCATGTTGGCGTATCGATCGTCTTCCCACGAGACCACGGGGTAAGCCCATGTGAAATGGTGTTTGGGCGACCAGTCACACTCCCAGGAGATTTAGTGCTTAGTAGAGTTGAGCCTGAAAAACATGAGTCAGAATTAAGTTCTGCATACGCGCAGAATCTATCACAGAAATTAAATAAAATACACGAGTATCTTTTGATGTTATGTTACGGGATTACAATGCAAAAATTCACCATAATCAATATGACCCAGGAGATGCTGTATGGGTCTTTTTCCCAAATCAAAATATGAGACTCGACAAAAATGTTGTTCCTTAAATGGAAGGGACCATTCATTGATTTATAAGGAATAAATGTTTTTTTCTAAATAGGCGAAAATGCAAAACATAAAGGGGAAATTATCCACCACAATAGATTTAAACCATACCTGGAGTAAATAAGCCCACATGTTTAAATCTCATGCATAGACTCCGTCCTTTCAATTATTAATGAAATACTTGTAAAATACAAATAGATATATTACCTTTCATTATTTCATTTATCACATTCAACGCTTCAATGTCTCCTATGTGACGGAAAAGAATTCACTCATCTAGTTCATGCGGAAAGGCATATAACCAGTTGCCATTCGGGCTTCGCCTTCAAATGCGCTGTGTGCAAAATGCTACTGAACCGTAGGGACATAAAACACACTTGCCCCGATTATTCACTGGACACAGATGAGAGATGTACGGAAACATATACAAATGAAGAAAAGAAGAAATTCGAGAATTCCCAGAAGGAGAGAATGAGGCATGTGGAGCCGTACATGAAAGAAGTCAAGCCAAATATATACAATGGAGGTAAAGGCATGAAGATAACTTTTTTAATTGATGCGCCTACAAACACTGAGTCACGCAAGGAAACCAAACCACAAAACAGAAGCCTGGCGAAGATAAATTTGTCCCAACTACCTCAGACAACCCAACAAGGTTTTCCCTATAGACCTCAGTCTTGCCTTTTCTATAATCTCAAGTCATTTGCCCTTTCTATCATCCCAGGCCATACCTAAAGAAGACCCTCTGTTAAAAACTAATCATAGACTTGTCAGTATACCTCCTGTGTAAAAAGGTTTTTAAAGAAGATGCCCAAGGGCTTTAACGGTCACCTGAGTACAATACAACAATTTAGAGGATCCATAAACTGATAAATGAGGCCTTGTTGCCCAAAAGCAAAAAAAATATAGTATGATTAGCATCAACAAAATAATTGGTCTAGTATCTATCTGTCCCCTATTTATCACTATTACCATGCAGACTATTTAACAAAATGTCTATTTTTTAACCCCATATTAATACTTCTCACACTGGCCTCTCTTGGCCTTTGAAGAACACTTAAAAAGAGAAGTTATTTTTGTCTCAATTTTACTCATCTATTATTTCCAAGACAACCTGATCATTAAAACTGTGAAAGTACTTTCTGTATTTTTTAACCCCATATTAATACTTCTCACATTGGCCTCTCTTGGCCTTTGAAGAACATTTAAAAAGAGAAGTTATTTTTGTCTCAATTTTACTCATCTATTATTTCCAAGACAACCTGATCATTAAAACTGTGAAAGTACTTTTTGTATTTTTTAACCCCATATTAATACTTCTCACATTGGCCTCTCTTGGCCTTTGAAGAACATTTAAAAAGAGAAGTTATTTTTGTCTCAATTTTACTCATCTATTATTTCCAAGACAACCTGATCATTAAAACTGTGAAAGTACTTTTTGTATTTTACAGTAAATATTCTTGCATAATTCTGGTATTTTATTAACCTTTCAAATACATTGTTTACAGTGATTATATATAAAAGGTGAATGGCAAAGGGGAATAAATTTGCTCAGCAGAATACAAGTTTACAGAGCACTGGGCAGGACCAGAACACTTGACTAAATGGTCCAGGTGTTCAAAATTCTGGTAAAAATACCTTTGCATATTAAAACTTCTACTCTGTTTGCCTCGAATATGCCCAAAAGCATAGAAGATTTTCAAAGAAATGCATTTTCACTATATTATTAAATAAATAAAGCCCCACCCTTACACCAGAACATCTGACCTAGGGGCCATGAACTCGCAATTCTGGAAGAAGCACCCTTGCTCATCATAACTATACACTTGTTTCTTTGCTTTATAGCCAGTAGTAGAAAAAAATATTTGGAAAGAAATTATGCATTTTCAATATATGATCAATAGAGCCCCCCCCCCCTCCCTCTTCACCTAACCCCTGACCCAGGGGCCATGAATTTCACAATTTGGAAGAGGCATTCTTCCTTATCATAACCAGGCACTTCCTTTGTTTGATTAATACAAAGGGGCAGAGAAGAAGATTTTGAAAGAATTTTTGCTTTTTCCCTATATAATCAATAGAGCTCCTCTCTAACACCAGGCCCCGGGGCCACGAACGTTTTATTTTACTCAACTCAAATCTGAGTTTAACTCTAAGTTTTTTACTCACCTGAGTTACGTCTCAAAAAAGTGTGCCACGAAAGTTAAAGCAACTCAACTCCGCTGAGTAACAAAACTCAAATTATTTTTTATGATGTAAGTGGCCTTGGCAATGTAAATAAAAGAAAAATAAATAATGAAAAACGTAATCTCTTTGTTTTCCTTTTGAATCTACCCTTATAATGCAAATTCACATAATTGTGACGTAATATTTTTTGTTTTGATGACGTTGCATACTACGGAACGGCTGTCTCACCAATATGGAAGAAATGGATGTACTGTATGATATCATAGTTGAAAATCCTTCCAAAATTAACGAAACAATATTCGAGGCTGTCGAAACTCCCCTCGCAGCATCCACTCCAAAAAGGAAACCTTCCTGGAGCGACTTAGAACAGAGTGTTTTAATTGAATTTGTTTCAAAAAATGAGCAGAAACTTTTTGGAAAGTTTAAAGGACCGGGGAGGGGAAAAGTAGAGAGAGAAACTTCCTGGGAGGATGTAGCAAGAGCTGTAAACGAGTATGTTTATTTCAAAGAATTATTTATAAATTTTCTTACCTTGATAATTTATTTAATATATTTTAAAAATTCTATAAAAAAAATTCTATAAAATTTTAAATTATTGTTGCTTGTATCTTGTTAAGTTAAATTATAGATTTATTTAATTTATGAGCTTTTTATTGAGTTAATAACACGTCATCTGCGAAGACTTTGAACAGACTATATATACAAATAGAAAGTGCTCAGAAAAGAAAAAAAAATAAATGTCAGGTCCATTTTCCATATAAACTTAGCATAGTGATAATATATCATACAGCAAATAGTTTAGCATAAAAGATTGTACTATTTATAACCCGGGCTACCCTTCCCCTTTTTAAAGATTTTCACTGAAACAAAGATTAAAGCGCAGGGAAATTTTTTCAGTTAATTTAATTTACTTTTCATATTGATATTTTTTAAGTGTGAAAAAACTTGCAAATTACTTATGTGTGTCATGGAGGTGGATTTGATGGGCGCACATGCAACCCCCCCCCCCTCCATCTAGGAAGTCTTCATAAAACTTACCATATTCATTCCAAACTGAAGAGTTGTAAGTATTGAGCTATATTTCTTTTCACAACTTATTTCCGGTTTATTTCTGTTACAGAGTAGGTATTTACTTTCGGACAGGGAAGGAGGCATCAAAGCAGTATGCCAATTTGAAAGCCAGAGGTACACATCTAAAAATCATTTACTTTTTGTTATTCTGACTATATTCTGAATACAAAGCACATTTCAGTTAAAAAATCAAACCTTGTCTTTTATCTTTATAGCATCGTTTCATAATATATATGTACATGTATCTCTAACAGGCGCGGATCCAGGAATTTTTTCCAGGGTGGGTCAATCCGCAATCAAAAAATTTCCAACCTAGAAATGTCTTGACAAGCAAAAAAAAAAAAACAACAAAAACCCCCAAAACAAAACAAAACAAACCAAAAAAAAGCAATCTAAAATCCATTTCCCCAACGTGAAAAAAAATTGTGGTGGTGTTGGGGTCCACGTTTTCTAGAGGGGGTCCAAATTCGTTTTTTACTTGCTTCAGTATATGCTTTTAATAACTCTGCAAATTCTGGAAACCCCCCCCCCAACCCCCCTCTAGATCCGCGCATGGGTAACGCTCTTTTATTTACAACGGAGTCTCTAAAAGAAATAATGAGTTTGACAAGCTAAAATAAATTTTATTTTTATTATTGTTCTGGACAAACTGTCCCAAATTAAAAGACCCAAGACAGGTGGAGGTCCAAAGCCCCCATCACCAACCCCTGTTGAGCAAGCCAAGTTGGATACTTTGGAGGGAAGGCCGTCTTGCAGGGATTAGACTCAGGTTTTGATTCTGGTGGTAAGAATACTTTCTTGATGTAAATGAAATACATGTAACCACCTTTAGTAATAACCTTAATACTATTTCGAGAGATTTAATATTACTATATTGGATATACGCAGTTCGAATTACCTAGTAAATCAAGTGAAAAAAAAGCATGTATGTTTATTTACTAGACATACGCAAAGAATACGTACATGTATTAAAATCCTCAACAGATTTTTCACTTTAAAAGCGCTAAAATCGTGCGTTTTTTTTAATTAATTGATTTATTTTTTTTTTTTGGAAAAGGGGTCAAAATCCTTGCGCGAAAGCACAAAATAAAAGTGTTAAATCGTATATATATATTTTTTATATTATTTTGCATGATAATTATTGAGTTATATTAAGGAGAGGAACTAGTAAGTTGATAAAACTTGTTTCTGATCCTTTTGATTGTCAAAAAATATGTTCAAAACAAACAAAAGTGTTACTTGTTGCTCAAAGTTACTCATATTTTTATTTTATGTATCATTGAATAGTTACATCATTTTGTTTTAACAGAATTAGAGAAGGAAAGGGATCAGGTGGCATCCATCTCAACATGCAGCGAGGGTCAAGATTCATCTTCAGACACGTACACCTCAGTGCCACCTCGCTCTAATAAAGAAAACAAAAAGGAACAGAGTTTATTAATTCTACAGAAAGATCTTCTCAAGACAGAAAAGAGAAAGTTAGAGTTAAAATGGAGCTGATGCACTTGAAGAAAAAGAAGATGTTAGAAGAAGTTGAAGTTTTAAGTCTAGAAAAAGAGAAGCTAAAAGAAGAAATATTGTTATTGAAGTTGAAAAAGAATTAAATAAAACGTAGTTTTATAAATGCAAATAAATCATCAATGAAATTTTATTTTTTAGTATATATATATCTATTTAAATATCGATTCTTTTTACGTATTCAATGCCCAAAAAACACATTGGCGATGTGATCTCTAACACGCTTTCCTTCGTGTTGCCCTCCTACCGCAGGCAGCGCCACCTCGTCGATCACTTGACCTTGAACAGCTGGTATCGGATCTACAATGTCATGTCTCTCAATCCCAAGATTGTGGAGAACTGTGCAGGCCACGATAGCGCAAGCTTTGTCGGGCTCCACCCGTAAACCTGTCTGTAGACAAGGAAACCTCCTTTTTAGGATACCAAACGCCTGTTCTATAACTACTCTCGTGCGACATAAGGATGTATTAAACCTCTCCTGTGCTCTATTACTGGGAGTCAAATATGGAACTATGAGGTACCTCTTGAGAGCATATCCTGAATCACCCAAAATAATACCATTTCGCGCTCCTGTAAGCATAAAAATTCTATGTTCTGAATGGAAATTAAAACAAAAAATATCAGCAGTTAACTCCAAAAGTAAAGCACTTTAGAATGCCCTTTTAAATACCGTTTACTCGCAAATTTAATTTATATGTTAATGTATGACTGAATATTCTCCTCCCTTTTGAAGCTAATTATTTTTTTAATCATTATTATAATAATTTATATGTCATAGAAAAATCACCTATTTCAGTTTTCTTATTTATGCCTTACCAGTTTCAAAGAGTCTAGCAAGAGACGATTCTCTAAACACACGGGAATCATGTACACTACCCGGCCATTTTGCAACGCAGTTCACAAATCTAAACGAGGCATCACAGGCCATCTGAAAGAAAGTAAATTTACTATTCTTTTTTCTTTTTTTGGGGGGGGGGGGTGCAAGTACAAAAACAAGTTATGTTTCTGCTGAATCTTACAAACAAGAAAAAAATTATATATGTAATATATTCCCTCGATTATTACATATAATATGTTATATTTTCAAAATCAATCTGACCATCAAATTTGCTACAATGTAAATGCATACAATCTGAGAAAAGCATGTCATTCTTTAAATTGATCCTTATCCTTATCTCTTAATCTTGCCGTAGACTAAAACCACGTGACTATCATCAGAAGAAACAATTGTATATATTCTATGAAAATGTGATCTTGTACAATTATCCTTAAAGACTTTGAATATCATCTTGAGTAGAAAAACAGATGAGCATAACAAAAAAATCATTTATTATAAGTATTGTTGCCCCCCCCCCCCCAAAAAAAAAGTTCTATGGTTAAAATATTATATTTATACTTGTAATTGTACTGCAAAACCTCTTAATGTGCGATATCACACGAGTCGTTTTCATATAAAGATAGTGAAAAAGAGAAATTTGGCAACCAACGAAAACAATATAATACGACTTAATTACGATACTTTATTTTCACCTGCACATATAAAGCAATTGAAAAATGAATTAGTTAGGAAAAAAACATGTACATATAATTACAATAGATTATATTCACCTGCACATTTAATGCATAATAACCCTTTCTGCACACATATTCGGCCTCGTTCTGGGCAGGACATCGAATTCGAATTAATGTACCGTCTACACAGCATACCATATTAGGAAAACCTTTTATAAAATTAAACAAATAAAATGAAAAAAAAAAACAATAATAAACGTATCAGTGTTCACATATTTACTAATCATCAGTATATTTCAAAATATTTTAAATTCGATTTTTTTTTGGGGGGGGGTGATAATAACCTTTTGTCTTTTCTTTTAATCATTAATTAAAATATTTATTCCATATTTGGCCAGAATGAAAAATTACATAAATTATTGGAAAAGACATTAGAGAGAAAGAAATTATCAATAATTCATGCAAAAATCACAAGTCAGCTACATGAACACAAGTAAACAAGATATAAAGCACCTGACTTAAATAATATTATATTTATATTTACCCCCCCCCCCCCCAATGTATATATATTGCAGATCTTTGTTTTCATAAGGCTATATTTATTTTCATTTTAGCAAGTGTAATATAATAATCTATTCATTCCCATAACAATTAATTGCTAAAATTGAAATACGTCATGAAACACAGCTTGGATTAACTTCCGAAAATATAGAAATTTGGGTAATTTCGCGCACCATACTTTTGTGCAGCTGATTCTGAGTTATCTCCCTTATAAAATGGAATAAGTTCATGGAGTATGATTTGAAAATTGTGTGCGACATTTCAGATAGTTTTGGGTTTTTTTATTATACTTTTTTTCTTATGATATAAAGAATGTGGAGGCTGCTTTGCGGAACAGACTATTAAAAGTCATTGAAAGTGTGTTTATTGGATGTTTTATGACGTAACATTAGGCCTAGCGTTCGGGCACTGTACATCGCCAGGTAAGTAACTGCCAAGTACGCAGTTGTTTTAGACTTGTCATGTCAATACAGATAATCAAATCTTGGACATGTATACCTGCTAAACTGTAGAATTTAGTGCGTATCTCTGCAGTTTCAGGAATTGATGGGAAGCGAATGAACTGTCTGGCTAGCGAACAGAGGAGGGAGGTAACTTCTCGTACAGCTCGTCCTGTAGTCGACTTGGAAATGGCCAGCGAGTCCCCAATAAGTTGGTAAAACGCACCCGTAGCAAAAAAGCGAAGTGCTAGTAACACCTGTAACAATGGTGGCAGAGCCGAACTCCTCTTCGTCGGATGTTCCAGCTGGTTTTCAATGAGACTACATATGAAGAAAATAGTGACGGATTTAAACCTGTATCTCATAAAAATTTCTTCCTCTGTCAACGATTCCAGTGGATTTGATCTATCCTGAAGTCGACGTGGTATCCTCTCTTGCCTAATGTTTTGCATTATAATGCGCCTGGCAGCCATTTTTGTGTTGAGTTGACTTTGAGATAGCTACCTAGCAATCTCAGATATTTTGGGAAAAACTCAAGAAAAAAATCTATTTGAGTTAGACTCAAGTTTCGTGGCACACTTTATTGAGTTCAACTCTGCGATTTGAGAAAAATTCTCAGATTTGAGTAAAATACAGCACTTGAGTTTGACTCAAGACGTTCGTGGCCCCGGGGCCAGAACCCTTGACCCAGGGGCCATGAAATTCATAATTTTGGAAGAGGCAACCATACTCTTCATAACTCATCGTCACTATGTACTTAGTTTATTTAATAAGATTTCCAAAGAATTAATACAATTTTACTATATAATCAATAGCCCTAACACCTAAACCCCTGACCCAGGAACCATAAAATTAACAATTTCTGAAAAGGCAGCCATGCTCATCATAAATATGTTCTTAGTTAGTTTATTTAATATCCAGGAGCAGAGAAGATTTTCAAAGAATTAATGCATTTTCACTATATAGTCAATAGAGCCCCACCCTAACACCAGAACCCTTGACCCTGGGGCCATGAAATTCATAATCTTGGAAGAGGCAGCCATGCTCATCATAACTATGTTCTTAGTTAGTTTATTTAATACACAGGAGCAGAGAAGAAGATTTTCAAAGAAATGATGCATTTTCACTATATGATCTATATAGCCCCACCCTAGCACCAGAACCCCTGACCCTGGGGCCATGAATTTCACAATTTTGGTAGAGGGCTCAATGCTTATTACAATGATGCCAACAGTTTGACTGCTTGATGTTCAGGAGTAAAGAAGAAGATTTTAAAAGATTGCATTATATTTGGTGGTTTTAGCCCCACCCCTCAGGCCCCAGGGGGGAAGGGACCATGAAATTCACAATTTTTGTTCCCCTTTACCCATAGATGCTATATGTCAAATTTGGTTGAAATTGGTTAAGCGGTTTCAGAGAAGAAGCTAAAAATGTTCAAATGTTAACACACGACGCACGCCGACGGACGAGAACGGATAGCAACAGGTTACCTGAGTGACTCAGGTGACCTAAAAAGTCTTAAGTGTACAACTCTTGTATTTTTGATGGTATTTTTAATAATGCTCTTTGTGCATTAAAAAAATTTCAACTTGGTTGGACCTTTTGAAAAATATTTAGGATTAAAGAGTATTAAGGAAAGGAAAGTCCTATAACAAAAACATCCTTCGTCGTTATGCCCTTTCGAAAAAAGTTTACAAGAATTTTTAAAATATGTACAAATTTCCCACCAATCAAATGTTTTCATGCGAGATTTTTGTGATGACAAACATATAAAATCACTTCCGGTTCTAAGACAAGGTAAAATCCGTCAGCATTGCAGATAATCATGGATGATAAAGAGTTATAAATCTAATAGGTACATACATCAGAAAGCACAAAATAAGTGTTTTACTAGTCTCTTGAACATTCCTCCAGAGTTAAGGTCCCAGCTTTAAAATATGTACAAATTTCCCACCAATCAAATGTTTTCATGCGAGATTTTTGTGATGACAAACATATAAAATCACTTCCGGTTCTAAGACAAGGTAAAATCCGCCAGCATTGCAGATAATCATGGATGATAAAGAGTTATAAATCCAATAGGTACATACGTCAGAAAGCACAAAATAAGTGTTTTACTAGTCTCTTGAACATCCCTCCAGAGTTAAGGTCCCAGCTTTAAAATATGCAACTGCTTGCAATGCAAAAACTGCTGACATTAAAACGTATGACCCTTCATCATTATACAAACTGTAAATATGCTTTCAGATCGTGGCATCATTATGGAACTGCATGGTGGAACACAATGTAAAGGGGTTCCCTTGTATATGTTCCTGTCGACACTTCTGCATCCAATTGGCTGGGAGGATTTAAGCAGGAGTTCATTTTCTTACAAATATGTAGAATCTGCAATGCATCAAACAATTCTGCTGAAAATGACTTTAATTAGTTCTATTTGACCAAATCATCAATAAAAAAAATTCAAACTGT